ATGGGGATGATAGTGTATCTGAGTAGAAATATCCCATGGTAACTAGGAAGAGGGGCTTGGGGAAAGGTTAGGGCTGGAAATAAAGATTTAGGTATCATCTACATGGAGACAGCAGGATTACTTAGATGAGTGAAAGAGAACAAAGAAAATTGGGATTGGAAGGAAAAGGTAAAAGAATTAATAAAAGAAACAGAAAGGGCCAAAGAGGTATTAAAAATCCAATAAGTACAATAGCATAGGATATAAAGATAGGATTGGGTGGCTCAGTTGGTTAAGCAGCTGCCTTCCGCTCAGGTAATGATCCCAGGGTCCTGGGATTGAGCCCCACATCAGGCTCCTTGCTCGGCGGGGAACCTGCTTCTCCCTCTGCCTGCCGCTCCCCCTGCTTGTGCACTCTCTCACTATCTCTCTCTCTGTGTCAAATAAATAAATGAAATCTTTAAAAAAAAAGGATAGTCAACAGCATCAAATGCACAGAGAGCAGATAGGATGAGGACTATGAAAAGAATATTGGGTAGTGGTCCCTGAAGACTCTTGGTGATTGGGCAAGAAAAGGTGTTGGTGAACAAGTCAAATTTCAGAGGCTCAGGCAGTCGTGGCAGATTGGAAATGGGTAAATAGGATAGGAACAAAAGGGTAAGAATATTAAGAAAACTTTTTCTTTGAATGAAAACTTTATTATTATTATTATTATTATTATTATTATTATTATTAATTTCGATGTGGAGCTCAATCCTGGGATTCCAGGATCATGACCTGAGCTGAAGGCAGATGCTTAACTGACTGAGGTGCCCCAAAAACTTTTTTATTATTGACAATAACACAGAAGATATTGATAGAGGGGGAGATTTAAGATGCATCAGAGGGAGAGAGTCTGTTGCCTCCTGTCAAGTTTCTTTGCCTCTGGTCTCATCTGTATCCTTCCATTCCCTGTATTGATCCTGATTATGTCAGCCCCCCACTGAAAGACCTCTCTGGGTGCCTCATGGCCAGTGGAAATCCAATATCCTTAGCATAGCAGACAAGATGCCTTGCACTCTGGTTCTAACCTTCTTTTCCCATTTCATCCTTCGCCATTCAGGGTACAGGAGATTTTAGATTCTTTCCATGTTGGGTCTTTGTACACATTGCTCTCTCTGGAATACCCTTCTTTCCATCTTCCACATGGAAAATGCTAACTCATCCTTCAGCAGCTGGCTCAAATGTCACCTGGCTTTTGAATTCTTTCCTGACTCCCCAGGCCCAGTTCAGGTCTCCTTCTCTGGTACTTCAACTGTAGGCTGTACACTCATTTTTGTCTCGGTATCTTGCATTGCAAATCATCAATTTCCTTAGCTGTGTTCTCCATTAGATTGTATGATCTTTGAAAACAGGGACTTTTTTACTGTTGTAATCCCCATGACTGGGACAAAACAAACTCTTGCTAAAAGCATCAGGAATGAATGAGTGGGTATTAATGTAAGGAGATGTATCTTGAGGTATAGAGGATGGAGGTGAAGAAGCATCTTAGTGCTAAGTGAAATAAGCCAGACACAGAAATACAAATACTGCATTGATCTCACTCATGTGTGGAATCTAAAAAGTCAAACTCACAGAACCAGAGTGTTGAATGGTGGTTTCCCAGGACTAGGATATGGGGGAAATGGGGAAGAACTGGTTAAAGGGTACAAGCTTTCAGTTATAAGATGAAAAAGTTCTGAGAATCAAATGTATAGTATGGTCATTGAAGGTAATGCCATATTTTATACTTAAATGTTCTTAAGTAGATCTTAAATGTTCTCACCACATACACCCCCCCCACACACAAATGGTAACCATGAGGTGAAGGATGTGTAAATTAATTTGATTGTGGTAATCATTTCATGATGTATATGTATATTAAATCACTGCATTGCACCACAGTCTAAAAAAGCATGCTGTACAAAATAAATATATATAACTTTTATTGGTCAGTCATACCTCAAAAAAGTTTGGAGGGAAAAAGCTTTATGAACTTGAGCAAGTTAATTTCTCCAAACCTGAGTTTCCTGTTGGTCATATGAGAATAATACTTTTCTTACAGTGTGCTTTTGGGGAGAAAAGCTACAAAATATACTAACCAACATTTAGTAATCATTAATATTAGAATTATTTCCAACTCCACCTTCATGGCCTGTATCTCTTGGTTTCTGTCTTGTCTTGGATTTGGCTGCAACTTTAATCCATTCTCTAAAGAGAAGTGTTTTGTTTGTTCTTTAAGTAAAATTTTGATGCTAAGAAATTTAAACGTACCAATGTTTCATCTACCTAAATGATTCAATCGACAGCAAGCAAATTCAGCAACAATCTAAAATTTAATATATGGGTTGATTTGGCAAGTTCACAATGAAATCTGACTTGTCTTAGGAGTTTCCAAGTAACTTCCCAGAGGAGGCTGAAGCTTTGAGGCTCCCTACACTGCATCGAAGGACACTCTTCCTGTCTTATCTTAGTACTGTTTTGCCCTAAGTGATTTAGAACAGCTCTTTCCATTTTTTTTTTTTAGCAGCATTTTTGTGGTTAATAAAAACATGTGCTTACAGTTTTTTTGCATAGATAAAGGAAAGGATTCCACATCAGATTTAGATCAAGAGATAGATTTTCAGAAGAAAATGAGGGATGTGTGCCCTGGGAGCAGCAGAATGCCGCAATATTCTGTCTCTGGCCGCTTGAGTTGAAGGCATTTATGAACACGTCCACACCCCGCCCACGCACATCCACAGTGGTCACCACTGCAGCTCCTGACACTGTCTTGCTCCCCAGTCTCCTTTCCAAAGTGCATCCGTTGTTTTCCATGACATAAAATAAATCCCTCTCTTTTGCCCAGTGGTGAAAAGCTTATATAAATACTAAAACTTCAGCTATTCCCCTGAGTTTTCTGTTGGCAAGCCTGCAGCTATGGGTTTGTTTGGATCTTGACGTGCCTTTTCTGTGCAGGTCTTTGAGGCCACTTAGGTGAGTCCGGTGGTGATAAATTCACATGTCTTGAAAATTTATCAGGTTAACCACGATAACGCTCTGCTTATGGAAACTTAAATGATTGACACCCGGATTGAAAAGGCTCCAGGTTCTAAGTATCTCTTTTGTTCTTTCAGCATAGATCATTCTGGTGATATATATGTCTTAGGAAGTCTGGGCCAGGAGATGATTTTAATAGTCATTGAAAAGAAAATAAGGTGTGAAGAATTGATTAATGTAAGACATTTCATCTTGCATGGTGGTGTTCCCATGAAAGAATGCTTTTCAGTATGTAGAAGTGAAGTATTTGATTGTGTACTAAGTAGGGATAGTTAACATTACTGGCTGTAATTAAAATGGACAATGAAAAATCTTTATTCACCAAATGGTGAGATTAGGAAAGTGCCCTCAAAGTATTGATACTGATTTTACCCTTGTTTTAAACAGTGGAAGAAATAGTACATTCTCCAATATAATTTCCCATGGAATCTGCAAACCTAAGATTAATTCTAGCTATGTCTAAGATTGCTGAGTAGAAGTCCGTGAACACTATTTCTACTATATTTCCACTTGCCCTCCCATAGTAGTGAAGCCTTATGCTTGCTGTCAATAATCTATTTTACCTAATGCTTTTTTTAAAAAAAATCTCTTTTCACCTAGATTATTACTTAGCTAGAAATAGCTTGCTATTTTAACAATTAGTAATTCTAAATTCTTCATATGTTACAAATTATGACTGTTGTCTTTGAGGATCCAAGATTTTATTTCTGTTTCACTGTTTCACAAGAAGAAATATAAAATGGTGAAGAAGAAATATAAAACGGTGAATCTCGGGGTGCCTGGCTGGCTCAGTCATTGGGCGTCTGCCTTCAGCTCAGGTCATGATCCCAGCGTCCTGGGATCGAGCCCCGCATCAGGTTGCCTGCTCTGCAGGAAGCCTGCTTCTCCCTCTCCCACTCCCCCTGCTTGTGTTCCCTCTCTTGCTGTGTCTCCCTCTGTCAAATAAATAAATAAAATCTTAAAAAAAACAAACAAACGGTGAATCTCATTAATGAATTAGGTCCCCTTTCCTTGACATAATAGAGAAAATAAAGGGAATCAAATAAGCTTTTATGTCTGTGAAGTCTAATTGTAAATTACAGAAAAAACAAAACAGAGGTAAAGGACTTGGCTGGATTTGAGCGTTGCTGGCTAAACTGATATATCAGTCTTCACATGCCTAGATTTGTTCTGATTAGTAAGTCATAGTGCAAATAAGTAGCTAAAGTTGTGTTTAGGCCAATGGTTGTGGCTGTTAATTGTGGCGTACTTTAAATATAATGGAGGTAGAAGATATAGCTTTCTTTTTTTTTAATTAAAGATTTTTATCTATTTTAGAGAGGGAGAGCACAGAGGGAGAGTGAGAAGGAGAAGCAGACTCCTTCCTGAGCAGAGAGCCCAACGTGGGGCTCGATCCCAGGACCCTGAGATCCTGACCCGAGCCAAAATCAAGAGTTGGCCCCTTTACCGACTGAGCCACCCAGGCACCCTGAACATATAGCTTTCTTTTAAAACAACTACGTTTGTTTATTTTTTGTTTGGAGGAATAATTTAGTATATCAATCTACCTTAAACTGATGTACTATGCCTGAGTCCTAAAAAACACTTTGCACAATGAGATTGTGCTCAAAATTGCAATTATATTGTTATATTTATAAGGTGCTCAATACAGTAACAGTTGAAGCTCAGCTAAAACCATTTCCCACACAATCTGCCTTCTCCACGGGACTCCCTGTCAAAAAGCACACAGACACAGAAATAGGAGGGATTATATGTCTAATGGTGGACCTTCAAACAATGAGAGCTGGTTGGCTATTCTTACCACTCCTGGACAAGTCAAGTTGTTTGAGTTAGGTGACATTCTCAAAACTAGGAGCAAAGAAAGCCTAAGAAACATAGTTTTGTTGTTACTGGTTGCTTCAAAAGAGGGCCATATGAGAAAAAACTGTTGTGTAAAAATGCATCTTTTTTGGGTCTGTTCCTAGGTTTGAAAAACAAACGACCAGCAAGTGGTTATACCTCTTTGAAGGCAGCGGGGTTGCGTATGGCCCAATCAACGACATGAAGAACGTATTTGCAGAACCCCAGGTTTGGCTTTTGAAGTTTTTAGTACATGGCAGTTAAAAAACGCAAGAAATTGCCTCTCTTTATCCAGATTGATTCATGTAAATACACGTGAGCCATTGGCCTTGAGCTTAAGTCATGTAACGTGATTTTTGACGGTTACGTTAGACTGTGGGTTTGAAGTAAAAAGAATCAATTTAGAACTGGCTGTCTACAATCATACTTTTACGTCCATCAGATCTAACATATTTCTGCAGCAGTCTCTACATAAAGTTTGCAAGGTCAGGACATTTGTTTCTCCTGAAAAATGGGAAATGTAGATAATTGAGAGGTTGGGCTCAGGCCCTCAGAGATCATTCTCTATAGAAGGAAGTACGACAACTTCTATAGTTGCAGCCCACATCTCACCAGATGGCTATCTTAAAGTGTACAAAGCAAGTCATGGTTAATTTTGCAAATGAGAGGCTTTTATATGTTTTGATTAATAAAGTGCATTATTTGTGAAGAATCAATTGTACTTGAATAGAGGTTTGTACTGAAAAATTCTTATAAGCTTCTTTTTGGGCCCCAGGAATCAGGATCACCTGAAAAAATGAGTTTTTTCTATAACATTGTTCAAATTATTATTTTTAGAGGCTATCAAAATAATTTTTGATTTATTACTTTAATCAGTATCACTGCAAGCAATTTACTGCTTCTCAGATTCGCATATTAATCCCAGAAGGTAGAGGAATGCCATTTTTCTATGAAGTTTTCACTATGATTATTCACATATCTTATCAGCTTCCAACACTTCAAAATTATAGGTCTAAAAATATTCTTTATATTGTAACCAGTTTTTCTTTGAAATGAATTATGGAAACTGGAATATGATTTGCTAGGGGAGGAGAACTTTGTTGAAAACTGACCTTTTTAACTTTGGTACCTATCTTTTACATGAGTATCTGCTTCAAGGAGAATTGACGTGTATTTAATTCAGTGTTCATGATATTTACTGGAGGAAAAAAATGAGTGGATTCAGGAATTCTGCTGTGTGTTATCTTCCTGCCAACATCGTGAATATGCCAAGGCTTTGTCCATAATAAAACAATGGCCAATAAGTATTTGAGATTAAGGGCCCCGCTGGATATGTACTGGGTTTCTATGACAGGGTCCTCGCTGCATCAGTGGATTAATGTCTGGTGATTAATAGCTCCTTGCCATGAGGCAGCAGTGAGCACACTCTGAAATGTACTAGACTCGGAGGACCAGTGTTCTCACTCATAACTTCGAATGAGGCCAAGCTTTGGCTTTGAGTTGTTGTGGGGGAATGGGTGGGTTTTGCTATCATTTTCCTTCTTAAAAATGGTACCAAGCTGTGTAGGACTTGGCGTTTAACTCGATTTGAGGGCACGTTTCCCTAGAGATCATTTCTGAGAGTTTTATCATCAACATTTCTGTCGCTTCACCTGTGTATTTTCAGGCACAAAGAACGTTATTTTAAAAATCACTGGGTATCTTCTTTTTTTTTTTTATTATGTTATGTTAAACACCATACATTCCATCATTAGTTTTTGGTGTAGTGTTCCATGATTCATTGTTTGTGCTTAACACCCAGTGCTCCATGCAGAACGTGCCCTCTTTAATACCCATCACCAGGCTAACCTGAGACGAATCACTGGGTATCTTCTAACATTACCTATTTTCTAGGTTTTGATGAACAAGGAACCAAGGTTCCACCCTTCAAATTGTTCACCTTATGGGCTGCTTCAGATTGAATATAGGATAGTTAAGTTTTTCATTCCCAGTTTTTCCTTGTAGTTCGGTTTAATTACTTTAATTGTTCTATCTCAACTCTTTTGGACCCTCATGAAGTTTCTAATATTGGTCTACAGCATATTTTTAGCTTTTGCTACTACCCCAGGAGTCTCTGAAAATTGCCTTCTTATCCTCTAAAAGTAGCTCCTGTTACTATTCTAACATCGAAAATTCTTAATCATCCAGTGATAATTACTGACAATTGTACCCTAGTTGCAAGAGTGGAGTTGGTCTCTTTTATATATACTTTCGTTCTTTGCAGTTTAAATGCCAAATGTACACATAAAATTTATCTGGAGTTTTAGAAGGACTAGAGAGCAATGCAATACTGTTACATTTTAAAAATTAGCACGGACGACTCTGGCCATTGTATGTAGGACTGTTTGGCATGAGAGGTAAGTACATTTGGCTCTTTTAAAAAGAATTCCATTATCATTTTGAATTTTGGAAGAAATGTAAAATGTGAAAAAATCAGGGAGTTATGTCTTAGGACTACTTTCAAAAGTTCATTTGACAAACCTTTATTGTACTTATGTACCAAGTGCTAGGGATTTAACATGAATTTAGTAATTCTCTTCCTTTCTGAAAAAATAAATCTAAAATCGACTTAGGTAGCAGATACACAGTAAATGTTGTTGTTGTATGAATCCGTGAATGAATGAGTTGGTTAAACTCTGCCAAGTATAGGTTTTCCAAATGATCAAGGGGCTATTGTGCGTCCCCTGGGTGGGGCTGACAGCGTCTATCTATAGCCTTTGTTTGGAAAGCACCGCATAATGGTTAAGACCACAGAGTCAAAATTGTTGGGCAGCTTTATAAACTTACTGGGCTTCAGTTTTCTCAACGGTAAAGGGGTGTAATAGGATCTTTGCTCTATATTGTTGTGTTACATGAGATAATGTTTATCAAGGGCAGTAGGGATTGCCAGAGGTAAAGGCTCAAGACACAGGAGTAACTCTGGGTTGCAATGGTACCCTTTAAGGTAATATTTTTGTTAAAAAACACCTTCTTCGGTGGAGACCTTTGCTCAAGGTTATATTTGTTTGGTGGATACAAAGACCTTTGTTTGGTGGATACAAACAAAATCAGTGTGGCTCTGGGGTTGGGGATCCCTAGCTTAAGAATCGAGCTGTAATATTCTTTTTAAGAAAAGGCATTCGCGAACTCTGTGCCAAGAACTTCTCAATCCTTCATCATTTCTGATTGCTGAAACTCCTCTTATTTTTTATTTTCCGTAAAAGTATCATTTCCGTTTAAGGTGTCCTCCCTTGTTTTTCCCCCATGAGCTGTAGAGTTTCTTGGCCCGGGGGTGCATGGAACCGGCCACTTGTGCTCAGATGTGGGACCCCGCCACTGGCGCCCGTGGCTGGCTCTCGTGCTCACTGTGCCAGCACAGCTGTAGCTCAACGGAAAATTGATTTGGGTGAAGTACAGGCCTGGAACACGGCGCCGGAAGTGAGGCTTTGATGAAGTGAAGAGGGGTGTGTCCAACCAAAAAGAAAAAAAGGGAAGTCAGAAGCATCAAAGTGCAGGAGAGGATTTTCTGGGGGCCTGCTTATCAAGTGGGCCATTCACCCTTCATCTGTGGTTTGAGCTCGGTAGACGACAAAAATGTACTTGATGGTAGAAACTATTTCGAACCTAAATAATTTCATCATGGCCTCATGTTCTGAGGAAACTTGATTTTTTTTTTTTTTTTTGACTCAGCTGAAAGAGCAGATGATTTTTTTTTTTTTCTTGGATAGATGCAACGTTGTCTACCTTTTATTTTAGCCTCTGATTATCTGCTGCAGACTCTGAAAGGTTGAAAGTGTCCTCCAAGCATCCACTGTTAAGTCAGTCAAGAATACTGTGGGGGTTTTGGTCTGTATTTACTGATAGCTTAGAGGAATTTTGATCCAAAAACCTTTTAGTGGTAGTTTGTTTTTCTCCCTCGGTGATAAATTATCTGTGGAAAACTCTGTGTATTTTATAGAAATGCAATATGGATTATCTGCATATCGATTTTAAGAGTCATTTTTTAAGTGCTTTCTTAAAATATCTTTTTTAAATCAGGCCAAGATTGTGTAGTACATTAAAGGAATTCTTAAAAAGTTTGAAAAACTTGCTAGATGACCTCAGTATGGTCCTATTTAACATACCCTGGGGAACATGTGCATAAAATACATTGTGGTTTGAGGTTTTCCAACCCAAACAAACTTAAAAGAAAATGCAGCTTTTAATAGAAACTATTCAGATTCCTGCAAAAATAGGTATGGATCCCACCACCGAGAGCATTTAATAGCATCATTATCTACCATGAGAATCAAAAGAGATTGTGTTACCCTGTTTTTTGCATTTTGCTTAAGACCATGTATTTGGCGATTCTAAGTGTATTCTTCGACTGAACTGCGCAATTAAAGAATATATAGATATGAATGACCGAATCTCTGATTAATGTTTTTTTTTTTTTTTTTTTTCTCTCCTTGCTGCCATGACCCATGGGTGGGGAAGAGAGGGCAAAAGGGTGTCGCCAAACTGGTGTTATTTAACAGAGCCTTCACATTTCTACCACACACGTTGAATCCATCAGGTGTAAGACTCACCCTGAAGCATCACTTCTGAGAACTATTGGGAGGGAAGTATCAGAACTGAAACATCACAGCTGGCCCTGATTTTAGCTGGTGCCAAACACCTGCAGGCTCTAAAAGGATACCAAAACAAAACCCCACCCTGTGGCAGCAAGCCATCCTTTAACAACCCTTCCTTAACTTTGTATCACCATCAAAATTAATTTAACATTTTCTACAGAAAACTTCTTCTTCCTGTCCCAGAAGGCCATTACAACTCCTTGAGCACATCTTTCGTATGGGATAAATACGTCATAGAAGCAAACAGAGTGAAGTATTGAAATATTTGATAGCTTAAAATTATCTGTTGTTTTCATATCATTATTTGTGGAAGCCTGTGAAGTTGGAGGTTTTATTAATCTCTAGGCTAGCTCATGTTCTTCAAGTGATTTGGTTTTTTAGCACATCCTGGCAAACTATCTGAGCATCTGGGGAAAAAAAAGCTTTCAGTATTCATATAGTAAGTGTCAGAAGCACCCCAAAATACAAAGCTGTTTTTCAAGCCCTTTCTACACTCATGCACGCACGCGCTCCTGCACGCACGTGCACATTCACAGACATGCTCGCGTTTTTGATGCATTTTAAAGACTGCCTTCTCCATGGCATTAGCTAATATTT